TCCTGTATTGGGTGTGGCCTATTATGCTAATGCGTTCCTGCTGGGCGTGGTCAACTTGGGAGCCAGCCGGAATTCCGTTCCTGTGCGTTCCTGCGCAAAAATAGCCCTGCATACGCGTAATCTTCGTGGGGGCTGAGAAGCGCGAGCCTCTCCCGAAACTTTCCAGAAGGTGCTCAGCCTCCCCCGGGGCAACCGGTTCCAGCCACCCTTGCTCCCCACACCCCATTTTGAAAGCGGAGGGTTCAGCGGCTGGGTTGGGAGTGGAATTGTTGCTTACCCACAAGGGTCATTTGGGGCCAGAGCGCGCCTGAGCACTCCTCCGGCAGTCCAGGAGCAGGCACAAATGGCGGTGGCAGCAAGCCCTGCCCCCAGCTCCCCACCCCTGCCCCCCAGCTCCTTCTCTCTAGAATTGTGCCGCAGCAGCGGTGCGATCTTTCCATTGGATTCTATGGCCCCATAGAATATAATGGAAAGATCGCGCTGCCCAGGGCTTTTTTTTGTAGAAGAAGCCCAGCAGGAACTCATTAGAATAACAGGCCACACCCAACAACAGAAACTCATTAGCATATCCAGCCACACCCATGAGAGCATAGCTCATTAGCATATTAGGCTGCATCCCCATGTTACCAGGAGTATAGTCATCCAGACACACCCACCTTTTGCTTCTTATTCTGTTTACCTTGTTTGTGGTCGAAACCCAGGGCTTTTTTGTAGCAGGGACTCCTTTGCATGTTAGGCCACACCCCTAATGTATCCAGCCCTAATGAGTTTCTGCTATTGGGTGTGGCCTATTATGCTAATGAGTTCCTGCCCAAAAATAGCCCTGGCACTGCCACTGCAGCACAACTCTAAAGACTTTCCCGTCTCTCTTCGGTTCCCCCCCACAGCCCACCTGGGGAAGGGGAGGGGAGGCTTTTGAACAGGGCTGGCTCGAGGTGTTTCTGCGCCCTAGGCAAGGCTGCCTTATGGCGCAGATGCCAACCTCCTGGTGGGGCCTGGAGACCTGGAGACCTTTGGAGCCAGCCAGCCTTTTGCTGCCGCCACCACCGCCTCCTCCCCCCCTGCCACCACCAAAGGCACAGCTTGGCGCCCCATCCAGGGCCCGGCACTCTAGGTGAATGCCTAGTTCGCCTAGTGGGTGAGCCAGCCCTGCTTTTGAAGATGCCTCCCCCCTTTTGCTTCCCCTTCTGACATCACTTCTGGTGATGTCAGGGGGCGTGGCATATGCTAATGAGCTATTATGCTAATCACCTATTAGGTATGCTAATGAGGTCCTGCAGCTCTTTTTCTACGAAATGACCCCTGCTCACCCGTAACTGATGTCCCCTTTCACTGAGCAAACATTGGTCCATTCCGCACTAGACCTTAAATCCTGGTTCAACCCTGTCCCCGAACTTACATTCTACACTACACGCGAGTTTACCCCTGTAATAATCTCGGGGTATTTTTTGTTTCCACATTACATGGAGGTCACCCCGGTTTTGCCCCACACTTGTCCCGGGATAAACGGATGCTGTTATAACCAGGGATAAATGCAAGGTATTGTGTTGCAGATTGAACTCTGATAAAACCAGGGATGAGATCCAAATGCGGAAAGGACCATTAAGACTTTTCTTTTTAAGTAAGCCTTAAAGTGTCAGTGTAATATCTTCTGTGGTTAACCAATGGATGGTGTTGAGCTAGCAGAGGTCTTTGAGAGAGGAAGAGCATACCTGAGCTATGTGTAGGGTTGCCAGGTCTGGGCTGGAAAATTCCTGGAGACTTTGGGGGTCGATCCAGGAGAGGGCGGGGTTTGGGGAGGGGAGGGGCCTCAGCCTGGTACAGTGCCACAGAGTCCACCCTGCAAAGCAGCCATTTTCTCCAGGGGAGCTGATCTCTGTCAGCTGGAGATCAGTTGTCAAAGCAGGAGATCCCCAGGCAGGGCCGGATTTAGACTTGCTGAGGCCCTAAGCTATACAAAACCCAGAGGCCCCCTACTGTTTTAAATTACATCAGCTGGTCTCAGAAAAATGTAAAATATATACGCCTTTTTAATATTTGAAATCATTTTTATATTGTGTTTTTATTTGAGGCCCCAGCAGATTGTGAGGCCCTAAGCTGTAGCTTATTTAGCTTATGCATAAATCCGGCACTGTCCCCAGGCCCCACCTGGAGGCTGGTAACCCTAGCTATATGGATGTGAGGAAAGAAGGAGGTTTGCCAGGCTATAGCAGGAGGCCTCCCACAAGCAACCCTTGTTTAAAAACAAAACGCCAGCATCAAGCATGATGTCATATTACTTCCAGGGAAAATCCGGAAGTGACATCATGTAGCTCTAGGCATTGCCAGAAATGCTCTAGTTTTACCATAGAGTTTCCAGGGATTCCTAGAGTGATGCCATAGCACATGTGAATGCCAGGCCCCCTCCCACGTTCCCGCCCCCCCAAGCTCTTGCCAGTTGCCAGGTGTTGCCAGGCAACCTTAGGAAGAAGTATTTCCTGTATGGGGACAGGAAAGAACCCATCAAGGGGTACCTGTGAACCAAGGCCCATTTCTCCAGTGATACGAATACCGATTTTTCCAGTGTCAAAACGGGAGTGCTCCAGGAAGTGGCTTCTGTAGAAGAAACCCCCTCAAGGTGTGTCTGTCTCCAGCTTGAGCACACCGCACCCCACCTTACCCTGCCTCCTGTTCCTGCAGGGTTGCCAACCTCCAGGTGAGGCCCAGAGATCTCCTGCAATTACAACTGATCTCCAAACCACAGGAATAACTTCCCTTGGAGAAAATGGCTGCTTTAGGGGCAGACTCTATGGCGTTGCATCCTCACCGAGCTCCCTCCCTTCCCCAAACCCCACCCTTCCAGGCTCCCCCCCCAGATCTCCAGGAATCTCCCAGCACAAAGTGGCAAACCGACCTTCCTGTGCTGTCTCTCCTAGTGCCAATATCAGGGAGGAAACTCCTTGGGCCAGGAGGGGCTGTCATTCATTGCTCGTATCGTTTTGCAAAGCACACGGTACCAAGGCAATGTATGATGAGGGCCATCAACCCATTAACGTATTTTAGTGGATTAACAATCTGCCTCTTAATCAATTACAATTATAATTGTTATTGCCTGCATTTTTAGCCTGCTTTTCTCATGATGACTCTACGGAGATTACAAAAGCAATTCAACCTGACAGCAGACTTCTAATAACAACGGGACTAAGGCTTCAGGACTGGAAAACAAGGCAAGCACGAAACTGTCTGCAAAACCTGTCTGAGGCATGACATACTATAAATGCAGAAAGGGGGTCACACAGGACCAGGAGGACACTGTACATACAATCAATATTGCATACATACATACATACATACACACACACATACATACACAGGGCTGTTTTTGGGCAGGAACGCACAGGAACGGAGTTCCGGCTGGCTCCCAAGTTGGCCACTCCCAGCAGGAACTCATTAGCATAATAGGCCACACCCAACAGCAGAAACTCATTCGGGTCGGCTACATTAGGGGTGTGTGGCCTAACATGCAAAGGAGTTCCTGCTACAAAAAAGCCCTGGGTTTGGACAACAAACAAGGTAAAGGGAATAAGAAGCAAAAGGTGGGTGTGGCTGGATGACCACACTTCTGGTAACATGGGGGTGTGGCCTAATATGCCAATGAGCTGTGCTGTCATGGGTGTGGCCTATTATGCTAATGAGTTCCTGCTGGGCTTTATCTGCAAAAAGAGCCCTGCATACATACATACAATAAACATTGCAACAAACTACAATACTTTCCCTTATAGAAGCAACCTCCTGAGCTGTTCCATTTTATTATGGTTCTAATCTCTACAAAAATGCCCTCCAGAACGTTTGCTGTTTTGAACTTTCTGCAAAACCTCCCAAGGGT